TTTTTTTATAATCTTATTCGAAATTAAATATTAAACATTAAATATAAAAATATAAACTTTAAAAAAAGTTTTTCATACAAATTTATATTGATGTATAGATGTTAAATATAGAATAAAATTTATCATATTATTTTCTTCAACTTATATATACATATATATAATCGTATCATTAATCTTATATATATAAGTCTTATCTTATATTTCTTATCTTTTAATATAACTTTCTAATAAAATTTAATAAAATTTAATAAAATTTAAATTTTATAAATTCATATATAATTAAATACAATAATATATTATAAAAATTTCTTTATAACTTATTTTTATAATATATTGTATTATATTTTATATATAATATTATATTTCACATTCATTTTTAAATTATTACATTTTTTTGCAAATATATTACTATTTAATTTTTTCGCTATTTAATATATTCTGCAATATAAAAATTGGAATAATTTAAAAAAAAGTGTTATGCAAAGGAGCATAAAAGGTCTTTAAGATAGAAGTAAGATATGAAATTTTGGAGTACCCAAATTGTATATATCTCAAATAAAACAGCTGTAGCTGCAAATTACATACATTTTTCTTAAAAACAACTATGTTTTTATTCTACCAATTGATTCCTTTCATTATTTTGCGTATAAAAATATTGAGGAAAGATCAGAAAAAGAATATTTTCTAGTTTATATAAATTAAGAAATTATTTCACGTCTTATAAACTAAAAAAGTAATTAAATTCCGTAAACAAATATACTCGCAACCATTTAGATTTCGCTTCGATTACTCAAAGACAAATATTCGAAAATACAAATTAGCATCAATATATCAGCCGTTTGCAATCATAAAAAATGGTGTGATATTTTTTTAATAATTAAAATTTTCGGAAAGTAAGATTAAAAAATATCTTTCATGTTCATTCATAAATCTAATATTAAGATTAAATCTGAAAATAGCAGAATCAATTTAGAAATATTCTAGAAATATTTTTCCTACATTAAGATTTATTGAATCGTTCGGAAAAGAAGATAAACATTACTTTAATTATATTGACTAAATAATATCGACTGGACGCAGTAAGGTATCTTCTATGTTCTTTCTTATTGCTATAATATTTCTAAGACAAAGTTTGAAATTTGGTCTGGCATCCGCTGTACTCCAGCAACGCAACATCAACTGGTACAACGTTGACGGACAGTTAAGAGACATCGGCAACCTGCCTCCAGCACGAACATAATTTATCACTTCTTCATCAGTCTTGACAATATAAGGTTGCTCACCCAACGATGTAATTTCCCATATTAATACCCCAAATGACCAAACATCGCTTTGAGAAGTAAATATTCCAATCGTCAAAGATTCTGGTGCCATCCAGCGAATAGGAAACAAACCTTCTCCTTTCTGAAATAAGATTTTAACAAAAATTTAATTTTTTGGTCCAAGTTGTTCATTTTTAGAATATGTGTAAAATGAAAAAAAACATTCGTTTATCTCTTGCTTTATATAAATACAAACGATTTATATTCTATATTACTTAAAGAAACAATGTATGATATTATTATGATAAGAACTATTTACTATTATGATAAGAAAATGAAAAGTATTTCCAAAAGAATTTATTTTTTAATCACTAATTTTCTTTAATAGTTGTATTTACCGCGCGATAATAATCATCCTTGTAGATATCTCTAGCTAATCCAAAATCTCCAATTTTGATGATACGATTCTCGCGATTTCTCGAAGATACTAAACAATTGCGACACGCTAGATCTCTATGTACGAAACGCAACTCTTCCAAGTAGCAACAACCTCGCGCAACATCTTCGCACATGGCGAGCAAATCCTGCAAACGCAGAGCATACGAATCTGACGGTTGCAAATTTCGACAATCTCTCAAATATTTTAACAGATCACCAGTTTCCATCAATTCCAACACTAGTAACGGAGAATCTCCATCTAAACAAATGGCCAACAATCTTAATATATGTTTGTGTCGAAAATGATTCATAAGCTTGGCTTCCTTTAAAAATTTTTTTTTCTCATTTGAAGAAGCATCTTTTCGAAGCATTTTTATTGCAACGGATATCTCTATGCCGGATCCTTCTAAGTTCTCCACATTTCCTTGAAACACCTGCAAAATATTTCATACAAATTTACATACGTACTTTATTAGAAAATGTATAGTTTAATATCAAATAATATTATATTTTACTTTATATTAATTAATTCAACGAAAAATATATAATAAAGTGGACATTCGTTGTCTCATTTAAATTTCATATTACTTATAATCTATTATACAAATTAATGTAATTTATATCTTTATTGGAAAATACATATCTGTTTTGTTGATTCAGAAATTAATTTGAAATATTGTTTGAAAAAATTAATTTTTACCTTTCCGAATGCACCGCTACCAAGAAGTTTTGTAAATGTAATCTGTTTACATGCGACTTTAGTTATCGCACATTCATCCGGGTTATAATGTAACATAGGACTGTAAATCATATTGAATTGAGTGTTTCGGCAAGGTACTTCATGTAGAATCGCCAATTCTATATCGTTCATCGTTGAAGACAAACATTGTTCATTATTACCTCTGCGTTGACGATACACTGTTATAAAATTTCGACTTAATTATGTAATAATATATATTATAAAATCTATTGTTTCTTAGTAAATTTAATCGTTTAGTTTTATATAAGTAAATTACTATTTTCAGTAAATTTTTAGATATTATATCAGATATATATGTATAATCTATAATTCAAGTTGATACCTAAATCAAATATACTTACAACGATAAAAGTTGTAGACGCAGATTATAGTAACTATAACGATGAAACTTAACATCAATAATAAGTAATATTTTTTCGCTATTATTCCAGGAGTGCTCGGAATATCTATATTAAACAAAAATGTAATGTTAATATCTTCGTGTGTGTATGTTTTTACAAATTTATTTTTACTTATAACTTTATTACAAAAATTTAATTTTTTTAAATTATAGGCTTATTCATATTTAGAAAAATTAGCACATAATATAGTATTATAACATTTATATAGCACAGAATGTTACAACTACTTTGCAGCAATATTGCAATACCACAAATTGTAATGCAACATTACGGAAACATTATAGAAATATAAATTAACAAAGTATGAATTTATGAAACATTTGATAATATGATAATATGATATTTATATTTTAGAAACATTTTAAAACTATAACACTCTTCAATTTATTTATAAAAATATTGTAATAATATATTTTTTATGTTTGTATATATGCGATAATTTTACTTTTTTGCAGAAGTCAAATGAAATAATGACACAGAAATAATATCAGTCGAGTAAATATAATTTTAAGCTAACGATAAGCATTGCCATTTTTTTATTAAATTACAGATAACATTTTATATTAATGTTACAATATATTTTATGATATATTTTCACTTTATGTATGAATACGATATTAATCTTCAAAGATAATATATCTTTTTATTATATTAAGTATGTAGATACTATTATATCCCCACCCCCCATCATTATATTTTTCTATCCATTTTTATGTACCTTTCACATTCAAATGTATATAATTATAACGGATTTTTTAAATTTATAAATGAAAATATAATTAGTGATGTATAAGTAATGTATAAGTAAGTTTAAAATAATTTTGTATAAAAATATCACATTTTATGTTATATGATTATGTTTAAATATAATTTTGCAATATATTATCTTAGATATGATTATCATAGATATTGCAAACTTGTATTTATATCAAGCTTTTTAATTTAATTAAATGTTTATCTTTTTAATTGTTCAAGCTTTTTAATTTAATGTTCAAGCTAAGTTCAAGTAATTTTTTGTTCAAGCTTTTTAATTTAATTAAATGTTTATATCAAGCATTTTAATTTAATTAAATGTTTCCAAGATATTCAACCATCAAAATAAAAAATATGGTTGCAATAACATTGCACTCTTTCCAATATATTACACTGTAACATTGCTACAATATTTCATTGCGAAAAGCGGTTAGCTTAACTTCATCACAATCTTATAACAATAACTCAGCAGAATTTCGCAATCGATTTGCAATATTACAATGTTTCAATGAAATTATTATTTAACATATCCGTAACTTTATTGTGTTATATGGGTATTTTTATTTGCTTACCACGTTTGCTGCCACGTGTCGAAAAAATAAATCTTTCATCAGCTGGCCATATAAAATTTACCTCATATTCGAGGTATCTCAATATCGAGCGAAACTTGTATAAAGTTCCCGATTGTAAATTTTCGACATGGCATGTTACTTCTTGGTTATAATTCATTTTAATATAATTCATTGTTTGCCACTTCTCTGCTGCAATATCTTTGTACTCTAATATAAAAAAGATCGTCAGATTAATGTTTGAGATCCATGAAATGTTCATACTATTTATGCTAACCCCGCTCAAAGTAATATTGTTTGGTTCTGAGTATATGTGAACGATCTTGCTTAAACTCTCGTTGCAGAAATCGCTGAAATTAATTGGACACACACGCACATATATCAAGTAATCTTGTACTGCTAGCGACAAATAAATTTTTGTGAAAAATCTGCCATCTGCCATACGTTTCGGCACATTGATAAATTGTTTGCTCTTTTGTTGCGTGTCGTTCATTAATGTAACTGATTTCCAATGCACTTCATAGGCCACGCAGTTCACTTTTTTGAGTGGCATCCAATGAACTACTGTTATAGCAGGCGTCAAAGCTAGAACACTTATGTTTTCTGGTGCATTAAGCTTGCCTGAATTAGTTTTTATTCGTAGCACATTCGAATCGAATGGTTTTATTGATAATTGATCAAAGTAAAAATTGCTTAAAATAAACTTCAACTTGTACACTGTAAATGGTGTTAAGTTCTGAATCTCGTAATATCGCTTGTACGTCTGCACTTTGAATTTCTCAGACTTGTTGAGATTGTTATCTAAACAGCTTACGGAGATAGTATACATAGTAGTTGGTAAATTATATTTTTTGCATCCACTTTTTACAACCGGCTCCGGAAGATTCACAACGATGCTGTTTGCCGTTGCATTCACATTCTCAAAATTATAAACTTTTTCGTCAGGTGTCAGGCATTTCATTGGAGGATATGATTGTAAAGATTTATCAAAAGAGTAAATTTTATAAAACGTATTATCATCTGAACTTATTATTATCTTTTCAACATATTTGGCTGCATTTACGCTCTTGAGATTTGCATATTTCTTTTTCAAAACATATATATGAGTATATTTAGTATATTTAGCATAATAATACATATCATATGTTAAAATGTAAATGTTTGTTATATCAATCGTCATAGATCTGAAGTAAATGTCATTACTTATATTTCTCTTGTGTAAAATCGTATTGCACATAGAAATGTTAATGTCTGTTACAATTGTGTAATTCCTACTTAACCAGTAAATTAACGGTGTCTCATTATTCATGTTATCAATTATCATATCATGGAAATGATCTTTATAATGAAATAAACACAAAGATGCATTTATTGAAACAATTTGTTTGATTTTTCCATCGAGATGATATTTCCTTATGTTATATGTTGTACTCCTCAAATTGTAAACTACGGAATACAAAATTCTAAAAAATATATAATTATTTTACTCATTATAAAATAATATTTTAACACAAACAGAAACTTGTATGTATTAAAAATTCGAAATTCTTATAATTATATTATAATTTATTATTTTTTTTACTTATGATCTTAATTATGAAAGCACGTAAAATTATAGAAAAATTAGAAATATTCATAAATTTTTAATAGAAAATTATTTTTTCAGATGAACGGTTAGTAAACGTACCCTATAGATGGTAATACATTTAAACCGTCATTATTTTTTGATTTCAAAATTTCATCAAATTTAATTATGTTATTTTCCCACATTGCTAAGTCAAACTTTACAATATAAGAAGCTGACTTTTCATAGGTGAAATATAGATTTCTTGCTACCCAGTCAATGCAGAGATCATATAGATAATGCTCAAAGCTAGCTATTTTTGTGGTTTTATTTTCACTAATCTTCAATGTCATCAAGTCTTTTTTGTCAATCCAATAAATCTTATTGTCTTGTATCGAATAAGCGACATTTATTACTGCTCTGAAAGAAGGAGCCAACTATAATTGTATAGTAAAAAACTTATAATTGAGATTTCTAATTTTACAGTTATTATTGCTATAATGTTGATAATAATAAACTTGTGCATAATAATAATAACTTTAATTTTATAGTTAGTGTTAAAAATAATTTATGATAATTATAACTATTTTTTTATCAATATATACATACTTTGATGTTACGAAATGAGTAATGTTCAAATCCACGTCATATATTTGGATACCTTGATTCGTTGTGAGTAATAATTTAGGTATTGGATTTTCATGTGTAGTCGACAGATTGATTAAATCCGTGTAAGGACCAGCAACAATTTTAGTATGCGCACGTACTCGAAAATAATATGTCGTGTTAGATATTAGATTGTGCACCGTGTGCTCCAATTTTGTAGTTGTGATATTTTTATCATCGCAGATTTCTTTAAAGTTTTCAAAGATAGAACACTGCACTTGGTACTCTTGTATTATTTCATCGGTAAATTCAGGTTGGTTCCATCTGTAAAAAAATTTAATTTTAGCTATTTTATATTTAAGAAAATTGTAACAGAATTAACATATTGATATATTTATGTAGTTGGATTTAAGAAAAAGAGAGAAAAATGAAGGAATACAAACTGAGAATTTAGATTTGTTACCTCAATGTCACAAAAATGTCGTTTACTTTTTCTGCGAATTGACTGTCGAATTGTACAAATGCTCTGAGAAATGTTGGCTTGCTCAAATTGCTTTCTAGAGATTTTAAAATCGTACATGTTAACATAATTATATATAAGATTAAGTGGATTCTCTCAGTAAATCAGAAAGAACAATTTAATGTGAAAATAAAGGAAAAAGAAAAAAAAAGTAAACTACAAAATATAGAAATTAGTATTGACCTTTAAAAAATTAATATAAGAATTTTTTGCGTCATTTAAGATTTAGAAAAGTAATCGTTAATTCATGACAAAAACGAATAAATAACTTTTAATAAAATGAAAGTACTTTTCAAAAAATTCCTATAGTCCTATATATTTTTCAAGAAATCAGAAGTATAATATTTGCAATTCCTTTAAAACAGAGTATCAAATTAATAAAATTGACTTTATCTTAAATTATGACAATTTTTATGTACAATGTTATGTTTATATTAAGCTTTTCTATTTCTTTTTTGGACGGAATTAGTTTTTATATTCTTCTCACTACTGGAAGATATTTCTACAATAGATTTGATTTCCACTCTCTCTTGAATTTAAATTATATTTACACTTTTTTGTCATAGATTTTGTTATTAATGTTTTATGCATTTTTTTGCAACTTACCGTTAGGTTCTGGGATGATAGAAATATTTGAAAGGGTAACTTCATCGACTTCCCGCTCATGTCTCACAGTACTATCAGAATGACTCTGGTCAGACTTGAAATTTAGTATATGATCATCATTTTTCTCGGATATTGAAATATCCTTCATAAAATATAACATAGGAAAAGAATTAATTGAGTCGTTGATGCGGTTGTTTCTGATGCTTTTAATGTTAAATTATATAAATTATAAAATTAAACGAAAAATTGCCGTTTATTTTTTGTTTGCTTAATAATACCGATTTGATATATACCATTCCTAAATGATATAAGTTTAATGTGATGTAGTTTTATTCATATCGTAAAATCAATTTATTTATATCTTTTAAGATATCTTCATTATCAAACATAACTCATGACAAAAAGAAAATCAATCAATAGGTTAACGAGAATCAATGAGGATTCATAACAGCTTTTAGCAAGTAGTACAAGCGAAAGAGTAGCCTTTGCAATTATTAAAACAATTTTGTCTAATTTGATTTTTTCTCACGATGGGTTAACTCCTCTCAATTTTACTGTAACTTATATTTCTTTTCAAAAATTTACCGATATTACTAAAGTTTTGTTAATGTTTGTACTTCAAGAATAAAAAGGTTAAAAATATTGTTTCCTGAAAATGATAGTATAAACCAATAGTATAAACCGATAATCCCTCAAAAAAAAAATATGGATAATTGTATATAAATTGATATATGTACAATGAAAATTAATATAAATTCTAGCGATAATTATTGAATATATTGTCGATCGAAATATTAGCGTTAATAGATACAATTTTGAAGAATGTTTGATGAATGATTTTTTTATTAGACAGATTTTCTATCTCGATATTTTGTAGCTCTAGTCCGTTATATAATTATCCTTAACACAAAGAAATGATACTAACTTTCTAAATTAATTTCATAAAATAAAATCTGCATTAATATAGAACTTACTATATATTAATAAATATTATTATAAATATTTAGAAAAATAAAGAAATTTAAAAATTGAAGGAAAATAACATAAAAATATGTTAAAGTGCCATCGTATGTATATATTAATGTAGCAGATAAATATAGTAGAAGAACAGAAAAATTCATTAATTGTAAAAATTGTTATTTTTAGAAATAATAATTATATATGTATATGAAGAGAGAGAGAGAGAGAGAGAGAGAGAGAGAGAAAATAATATAGTCAAATTTTAAAATACCGTTTTAATTAAATATAATATACTGTATAACATCCATTTATAAACAAAATTTCGAAATTTAATCCTTTTTTTTTACAACATCGTACATATTGTACTTTTTACTTTCATATTGAATTGCTTTGTTTCATCTTATCCTATTATAGGTAGAATATATAATTTATTATCATTCATTTTTAGTTATACTACTGCAATAACATTTAATTGTTTCTTAATCAAACGAAAAATATCTCTTACCTGCGTGAAATTTAAATCCGGACACATGGAAACACTTTCTTCCTGGAGATAGATGTTATAATCTTTCGGCGTGATAGTTGTCTTTGTCAGTACTAAACCTTTCAATAAAACACATAAAATTGTTCCAAACATAATTTGCATTTTTCGTAAACGTTTGCACTCAATCGGTTTCCGATGAATCCTCAATTAGTTGTTTTTCTCACTCTACTAATTCTGATGTGTTAATCGAATTGATATTAATTTATATATATACATATATTTTCGATAAATTTCTTAAAAGTCAATTTTAACGAAAGTTATTATCTTCTAAAATTATTTTTAGATTTCTTTTTATGGTCACGATCACAGTACATATTTTAAGATTAAATTATAGAATTCCTAAGTAAATAATTTCTATTTTTTTAGAAGAACAAATGATAATGCAAAATGATACATATTCACTGGATTGTATCGCAAATACAGGAAATATAATTATTGTCAGCTTTCCTTTTTCATTAATATTATAGTAGAAAATTGTCGATAAAAAGATAATCAAATTACAAACAATCAAAGAAGTTATAGAATGATAGATTTTACAACATTTTCAGTCATATTCCAGCAGCGTGTAATCGAATTCACTTAAATATTTACTATATCTTTGGTTTTATTATATATGTAATTATGACAATTCGTTCGTACGATTGTGTTACTATATGTAATTGTGTTACTACGTATGCTTTCCAAAATCCACTATTTGTACACAATTTTTTGTGATATTCATATGATGCAGTTTGAATGAAACAATAAGTAACGCGGTAGTGTGTTTTCGGCTAGAGATCACAATAGTAACTGACTTCGAATGATCAATCTGATCATGTGTTGCCATGACGTTTTATTAGCTTTATTTCGTTGTAATTTATTTTTCTCTGCGGAGATACTCGCGTTATTTCAAAAAGAATTAAAATCTTTACAAATTGTTTGACAAAAGGTTATATATGTATAAAACAAAAATAGTTCTATGTATAAATAAAAATAATTATATGTATATATAATTGTTGAATGAATTTTATTATAAATTTTTTATATTAATTTATTTCTTTCTATTATCTTCTCTTTGGCATAAGAGGCACGTTTACTATATAAAAAGATATTCTGATTAGAAAGAAAAGTAATAATGGATTTAAAAAAAATGATTTATACGTTTTCTGTGACATTCATATAATGCAGTTTGAATCAATACGTAGCGTTTTTAGTATAAATCTCGTAGTTCTAGTATAAATATAATTTTTACCATAAATCTAATAGTTCTAGTATAAATAAATACAAATTTTCAATAGCACATAAATAACTAAAATAAATAAAATAATTGTACGAGTTATTATTATCGATATTTGCATGAAATAACCTTATAATATAATAACGTATATAATATACCTTTACTTAATATTAACTTAATAACATAATATACTTAATATAATATAACATAATAAAAACATAATAAAAAACGTATAATATTAATTACTTTATTATTTTAATTATACTATTGTATACTATTGTATTTTATACTATTGTATTTATATACGACAATTTTTATATGCGCCAGTGTGCATTAGTGCATCCAATTAAATTCCCTCTTTCTCCCGTTATAAATCACTTTTTCCAAAAAAGTGATAAACACTTTAATTACGTGAAATATAATTGAAAATAATTTTGTAATGCTCCGATCTCTTTTTGTGACTTATTCAGTCCATTCATATATTAAATGATATACAACATTTTTATTTTCAAAAATATTCTTATATTATTTAAGAAACATTCTGCTAATAACAGTTAAGAATAATACTGTGTGTTAAGAATAATTAGAAGAACTAAACAAGTATTTTTATTATGGTCTCTTTTTAAATTCATGCATAATAATAGACGTATTTTCAAATATTTTATAAATTTATAAAAAATTATTCCCTCCACAGCACTGATACGTATGTACAAAGATTTATATATATGTGCAGTTTAATTTATATATATGTGAAGATAAAAGCTCCAAAACATAATATAAAAAAAGCTTGAAAAGAAAATAACAATTGTGTGTTAACATGAATCTACAAAATAGTTAATATTACAAAATATTACAAAACAAACATTAAAGTATTAATACATGCATATCCCTCTACAATTTTTTTTTCGTTAACTATCAATAAGTTATTTATATCAGTTAGATAATATATATAACAATAATATTTATTTGATTCAATATATCATCTCTTCTACGTCACTTCTTAGAACTATAATATTTTCAAGACAAAATTTGAAGTTTGATTTAATTTCCGCTGCATTGCAATAAGCCAGCATTGATATCAAATGGACAGTTAACCTTTAATTATCAATTGTAAATAGATGACGAAACGTTTTATGACACATGGCTGTCGTCAATAAATAACTTTAAGATATGCTATTTATGAATCTACAAAATAGTTAATATTACAAAATATTACAAAACAAACATTAAAGTATTAATACATGCATATCCCTCTACAATTTTTTCTTCGTTAACTATCAATAAGTTATTTATATCAGTTAGATAATATATATAACAATAATATTTATTTGATTCAATATATCATCTCTTCTACGTCACTTCTTAGAACTATAATATTTTCAAGACAAAATTTGAAGTTTGATTTAATTTCCGCTGCATTGCAATAAGCCAGCATTGATATCAAGTGGACAATTAACCTTTAATTATCAATTATAAATAGATGACGAAACGTTTTATGATACATGGCTGTCGTCAATAAATAACTTTAAGATATGCTATGATGCCCAAAATAGCACACATTCGTTTTATATACGTTTCCTAAACGTAGCCAATATTTTTTAATCGTAAAACATTAGTAAGAAACGTTTCTATAAAAACGTTTTTAAAACCATAGTTAAGGAAACATATTTTTCACATTTATAATATAGACAAAATAAAACTAATTTTTATTAATTTCAAATTATATACAGGGTGTATCAGAGCGACCGTATCAGGCTGGTATTTCGAAAAATACGCATTTACTTGAAAAATGTTCCGAACAAAAGTTGTAGGACTTTAAGGGGCGCATTACATAGCATGGTTAGTGTGACCTTGGATAGTGTTGTTAAGGACACGGAAAAATCAATTAAAAGTTTTTAAATGGAAACTCCTATTTTTGATTGTATATTCTTATAGCTGACCTCGAGAGCTTTCCAAAACACTATAATAAAGTATTTCTTCATTGACTACTTTTCGAGTTATGAGGCTTGAAATCATTTCTTAATTTTACATAAACCGTAAAATATCTTGTGAAATATTCATTTTTCGATTATCTTACCTTAATACTTTTATGTACAAAATAATGAGAGGAATCAATTGGTGTAAAAAACACAGTTGTTTTAAAAAAAAAATGTAATTATTAATTGCAAATTACATATTTTTTTCTTAAAAACAACTATGTTTTTTCTTTACACCAATTGATTTCTCTCATTATTTTATACATAAAGGTATTAAGGTAAGATAATCGAAAAATGAATTTTTCACAAGATATTTTACGGTTTATGTAAAATTAAGAAATGATTTCAAGCCTCATAACTCGAAAAGTACTCAATAAAGAAATACTTTATTATAGTGTTTTGGAAAGCTCTCGAGGTCAGCTATAAGAATATACAATCAAAAATAGGGGTTTCCATTTAGAAACTTTTAATTGATTTTTCCGTGTCCTTAGCAACACTATCCAAGGTCACACTAACCATGCTATGTAATGCGCCCCTTAAAGTCCTACAACTTTTGTTCGGAACATTTTTCAAGTAAATGCGTATTTTTCGAAATACCAGCCTGATACAGTCGCTCTAATACACCCTGTATACATATACAGGGTGATCCATTTTAACTATTCGCATAACGAGTGGATGGAAAGAAAGACACGAAAAAAGTTAAAGGCGTCAAGAGCAACGTTGTCGCGAGAACGATAACGTTTGACGATTACACGCGGTGTTTGAAAGAAGAAATTGAAATGACGTGCCAGCAGTCGTGTATACGATCTAAACTGCATCAAGTATACACGATCTGCGAGACGAAAATTGCTTTGAGTCCGTACAACGATAAGCGGTATATCATACCTGAAACCACAGATACATTACCGTGGGGACATTATAGGATACCATTGTAATATGTAATGTAAAATGTAAAATGTAAAATGTAAAATGTGTGCGATAAACTATCTATTAAAAGAATTATTAATAAAGATTTTTATATTGTATATATTTTTATGTAATGTAATGTATATTTCATACATCTTATTATCTTATTAAAAAAATACATGTACTATTGAATATTAATAATATTCAAAATATTAATAAGGATTTTTTTATATTTCATATATTTTTATGTGTATCTCATGCATCTTATTATAACTTATTAAAAATACATATACTATAGAAAGGAATATTGATAAGGATTTTTTATGTATATTTTTATGTATATTTTTATTTTTTAAATATTATAATGTTATACATATATATTTTTTCCAGAAAATTAAAAAAAATAAACACTGTATGAAAATTAAATTAATTAATTAAATCACATTGTTTTTATGTATCCAAGAATTGTGCGAATTGTCAAATCCCAGCCATTTCACGTAAACCTCGTCACCCCTCCTGCGCAATACTTTCTCCACGAGATACACGTCCGGATAATTCGCGCGATGCAACTCGTGTTCGTAGAACGCTCCAGCGATAGATTTTCTGCGATAATCCTCAAATAGATAGCTTACGGGATTAGTATGCTGCACTTTTATAATTTTAAACACCTCGGTTGTCCAATTTGGCGTGTAACCTTTCTCGAAAACTGTCTTGTACTTGCTAACGCGTACCGAGTCACCTACTTTGAATTTCGCCGAACCCGCGATATTTACATGATTGTATACAGTAGCCGAAGAGTAGATCGAAGAGTCTTTCAGCGATCGCGGGGGTAACGTCGACGGGCCGCATACTGATCGTTCGATGCTTGCGCGCGTTGTAATTCGATACGAGTTCCGGCAACACGTTGATCCACTTGTAAGATCCGTTTAGCGTAAACATCTTCCACATGTCGTTTTTCAGCGTGCGATTGAATCGCTCAACGATCGATGCCTTTAATGTCGAATATGTAGAATAATGATTGATGTCGTGTTTTCGGATGAGCCGTTGCACATCGACGTTATAAAATTCCTTCCGTATCGGTCTATATATTTTT